AAAAAAAAAAAAAAAAAAAAAAGAAAAGAAAAGAAACTCTGGTGTATTTCTATAAACTAGCAGTGAACAATCTGAAAATGAACTTCAGAAAGTAATTCAGTGAATTATAACATCAAAGAGAATAAAATACCTGGGAATAAATTTAGGAAGTGTCAGATGCCAACACTGAAAATTACAAAACAGTTTTAAAAGACTTTTAAAAATATGTAAATACATGAAGAAACATCTCATATTCATAGATTAGAAGATAACAATTGTTATTAAGATAACAATTCTCTCAAAATTGATTTATGGAGTCATTGTAAACCTTTCTGCTTCCAACATCCCACCTAGATCTTTTTTGTTTGTTTGTTTGTTTATTTGCAATTAAAAATGATCTTAGAATCCATATGGAAATAGCAAAGGTCAGAGAATAGTCAAGACAATCTTGGGAAAGAAGAATGAAGTTAGAATAAACTTCCAGATTTTTAATCTGAGACTCTATGAAACTGATATGAGGACAGACAGAGAGAGCACAGCTGAGCATTCAGAGTTAAACCCTGAGATGTGTGGTCAGTTCACTTATGAGAAATCCAGTGGGGGAAAGGATAATATTTTCAAAAATGGTGCTGGGACAATTGCATGTCCATATGCAGAAAGATGCATTTAGACCCTTCCCTTACACCAAACTCAAGTAAGGCACAAACATAAAAGGGAAAATAATAAAATTCTTGGAGGAAAAATACAAGTATATGTTAGGTAAACATTTCTTAGATCTGACACCAAAAGCATGAGCCATAAAAGAATAAAATCAATGCACTGGGCTTTATCAAAATCAACTTTTGTGCTTCGAAAGGTACCCCTAAGAAAGTGAAAACACAAACCTCAGACTGGGAAAGTATCTACACTAATCATATATGTAGTAAAGGACTTGTGTCTAGAATATGCAAGGACTTTCGGAACTCTGTATAAAGACAACCCAGTTTTTTAAATGGGCAAAAACACATTTCATCAAGGAAGATAAGGCCATCAAGTGGCCAATAAGCACGTGAAGACATTCTTGACATTATATTTTTAGAGAAATGCAGCTCAAAACCATGAGACACTACATGTCACCACGAGGATGGCTATATCCAGAGCTAGACCATAGGTGTTGACCGGGAAGCAGCGATACTGGAACCCCCTCACACTTGGTAGGAAAGCAAAGTGGTACCGTCACTGTGGAAAGCAGTGTGTACGAAACAAACGAGTTTCTTAAAAAATTATAATCTGTCATATAACTCAGCAATTCCACTCCTAGGTATTGGCCCAAGAGAAATAAAAACTTGTGTCACACACAGACTCGTGTACAGATGTTCAAAACAACCTTATCCATAATTTCCTGACTGGAAACAAGTGTTCATCAACTTGTTGGCAAGATGAACAAAATCTGGCATCTCCATACGATGTCATTGTAATCCCGGAAAAAAATACTGATACACGCTGCACCACGGATGAACCTCAGAAACGCTGGGCTACCTGAAAGTCAGACCTGAGAAACCACGTATTTATTGTATGATTCTATTTACGTAAGATCTCCAGGCAAATACAGAGAGACAGAGAATGGAATCGGTGACTTGGGCTGGGGCGGAAATGGAGAGTGACTGCAGATGTGCATGAGATTTCTGGGGGGCTGAAAATCTTCTAGGAGTACATAGTGCTGATGGTTACACAATGCTATAAATTTATTTAAAAATTATTTTAAAAATTGCCAGTGATTCCTATTTAGACATAAAAAATCAGTTATCACTCCCAAACCTAAAAGCAAGCATGCATTGTGTCTCCGAAAGCACTTACTGTACCCCCAAGATAACTTTATATCGTCTCAGATTTTGGACTCCAAAATAACCATTGACATTGGCACACTGCCTTGTCACTTACTTAATAAATCCCGTCATCACATTAATTTTTACAATGTCTCTCTGTGAGGCAGGGGTCCTTTATTTACCCTGTCTTTCGAGTAAAACAGTATCTCTTGGTTTTGATATTCAGTTTACTTATTGATAATTTTTTATTCTGGGGGAAGAAATTTGCCTCACACTATTTTGCTCATAATATGTTTTTTTAATGCAGCATGGCTGGAATTTTTTTCACTAAGTAGTTGTCCATTTATGTAATTGATGAGGTTGGTGGTAGTAAAAACAGGCATAATTTATTCTTAGTAAGTTGGCAAGTCGTAATTCGGCTGCCGGGAAGTTTTGTGCCTCATTTGGTGAACCACCCAGCAGGCAGGTGGGGCTGGGGAGGGAGGCTGCCCGAGCTACCCAAGTCCCTGGGGCAAGGGTCGGCCTATGTCTGAAATGGGCCCCACTCTGCACTAAGGGCCACCTCTTGGCTGTGTCCTGACAAAGAACCTTGTGGGAGCTGCTCTTGGAAAGTTCTAGCAATCCATTCCATCCTTCCACCCCTGCTTGTGGCACACGTGTTACATAGAATGATCGTCAGTTGAAGTACTTGTGTTTCAAATCATAATTCTGTGTGGCCACAGCTTACTCTTTATTAAATGATGCTAAATATTCATAATGCCTTTCCTTCCTTTTCTCTTTTTTTATAATTCCCTCGTATATACACCCCCATGCTCAGAAAACTAACGGACAGATATCAGAGCAAGAATTGCGACAGGTTCTAGATAACAAGGTGATAAAACTCAACGATGCGGATTTCAAAGAGCTGATGCAAACGCTGGACCCCGGGGGCACCGGGATGGCCAAGGTCAGCACATTCATCGATCTGCTTGAAGAGAACCCTAAGGTGAGTCTAGAGTAACTTTGTCTGGTTTTCTCTTTACGGCAGGAAACTTGATTCTTCTTAGTAGAAGAAGAGATGCGGGTGAAATATGCTTTAAATAAATGAAACGAATGCCCGTTTCAACTGAATTAATTTCCATTTTAAGTAAGAGTCAAGTGTTCTACGAGTTGGTAGATTTTAACTTCTGGTTTCTAAATCTTATCAAAAGATGGTATCTGACGTTTCTGAAAACCTGTCCCTGAGCAGGAGGCCTTCATGCCCAGGATGTCACTTCTCTTCACACCACGACTTCCTGTAAACAGCGGCTCTGGTTCTCATTCATATCTTTGGGGCTTTGTACCCTGTGCTGTTTCATCTTTTTAAAAAATAATTGCTCATTGATTGCTTCTAGAGACTGATACTGGCCTTAAGTAAGAAGCTGGCAGTCTTCTTCTTAGAAATGCTTCTGTAACTTTAATAGCTGTTAGCATTAAAACATTTTAAGAACTTCAAAAATCAGATTAATTTCAGATAACGCATGCAGCAGGCTTTAACAGACTCTTGGTGAAATGTCTGTTAAAGGCATCTTTTAGCAGGTACAAATTAGCTTTTAATTCTTAGATTTATGAAGGTGGCATGCATATAAATCAAAATCAAACTAGTAATATCAAGAGATGCACTAGTCCCCAAAGACGTTTCTGTTGAGTGGATCTGAGGCGGGTTCCTTGCTGTGGGGATAGCATTACCATAGTCCAGGGGTCCTCAAACTTTTTAAACAGAGGCCAGGTCACTGTCCCTCAGACCCTTGGGGGCGGACTGCGGGCCCCGGGACAAGTCAGCTGCTAAGCAGGACAGGCAGCGGTGGCAAAACACCTGGTGGGCCGGATAAATGTCCTAGGTGGGCCACATGTAGCCCACAGGCTGTAGTTTGAGGACGCCTGGTTTAACTGAAGCCAGCTGCCTTCTATGCTGATGGCTCCTATGCAAAATGTGATGAATCCATCATCAATGAATCCTTTCCACCTGCTGTGGGTTCGCATCATGACCTTGTGGAGAGTTGGGGCATACTTCTTACTTCTCGGTTGAAAATGGAACAGTTTGTTGGATTGAAAGCACCATATTTAAATTACCTTTTCTTGGCACATCTAGAAGTTTTCTCCCAACATTTTGGAGGTAATTTTAATAGACCATCTTACATCATACATTCGAATGTTCTATGATTACACAAGTAATAAACATTCAGTGTAAAATAGGGAATATCCAAAACTACAAAGGTGAACATAATGATATAAACCCAACCCCCAGAGACACCACTGCTGACACGTGGACAGATTTCCTTTTATTCTTTGTGTGTGGCATATGCACATTTCAAAAACATGGTGGAACTCATTATTTGTACGATTTCATATCCCCTTTTTTTCAACTTCACCTTGTATGATGAGCATTTCCCCCACACCGCATGTCACCAAAGCATGATCTGCAGTGGCAGCAGGAGTGCTCCATGCTTGCACTTGTCACTGGGCCTTTGGGCTTTTGTCTGCTCACTTCCTCAGTGGAGGATGACACGTGCTGTCCATCTTTGTGCAGGAGGTCTTCGTTCACAGGCAAAGATTTCCTTAGAATAGACGCATGCAAGTGGAAATGCTGGCCCAAAGGGAATGGGCATGTTTGTGGTCCTGGGCGCATATATATATATATATTTTTTTTTTTTTTTTCTTTTAAATATGAAAGGTCTCATGATCTATGCTAGAAAATGGATGGGAATAGGCTGACAGTAAAATGTTGGTTAGATCTCATACCTGTCCCATACAGGTGGGTGGGGATACGCACCTGGCACCCAGGCAGTGCTGTGACATATAGAAGCCTGAACATGTGCCCTGACCCACTTTCCTGCTAGCAGAGTTGCCAGGCATAGAGGGCGTCAGCTCAGCTTGGAGCTTTAGCACCTGCCTTCACCTCACACTGGGAACTGGGCAATTTATCTCTTTAAGACTCATTTCTTGTTCTGTAAAACAAGGGTGATAATTATAGCACCCAGTAGGAGCATTATGGAAGTTTAACAGGATAATGCACATAAAATGTTTAGGATCTCTTTTCTTTAAAAACAAAATATAGACACGTAAGCAGTCTTCTTTCCATGTGGCACGTAGTGTGATCTTTGCTTGCTATAAATCAGATCATGGCTGCCTCCATGCTTAAACCCTTTCAGTGGTTTGTGGGATAAACCATAACTTCCTAACGTGGCCAGCGAGGTGTCACCTTATTGGAGGCCCCTCCTTCAGCTCCTTGGACTCTTGCTGCCTCCTCCCAGGCCTGGCCTGTCCTGCAGCTGCTGCCTCCAGTTCCTTCCTGCTCCCTTGGACCTACGGTGCCACATCTAGAGTTCAGTGCACGCCGGGCCCAAGCAGGGACCCTCCCTAATGTCTCCGGAGAAGTCCAACTTTCCAGTTCCCCACCTCACTAGTGCCCCCAGCACCTATTGCAGCCAGGGTCAGTTTGTCCTGTCTCCATGAAGGCGGAGGCCTAGCAGTTACCACTGCCCCTTGTACCATGGCGGAGGCCAGGGCCAGGCACACTCACAGCAATTTGCTGAACGAATGAATTAGTATGAATGAATGAATTGGAAAAATTAGAAAACACAGATATGCAAATAATTCGAAGAATATAAAAAATACCACCGAACCACTAATTCTATTAGTAACAAGGGATTGTCACTCTTATACTTTGTTGTATATCCTTCCAACTTATAAACATATACACACATACTTTTTAAAAAACAACTTCATGGAGGTATAATTGATACACAAAAACCTGTACATATTTAATTTATAACACTTCCATGAGTTTGGATACATACCTTTGTATATTGTATCTATTTTATTGAAAGGAGAGATTACATAGTTAATGTAATGGCTTGTTAGTTTCCGTTGTCATTTATTCATGTATTATTAACGTTTAATGTCAATAAAAATTCTGCTGTATAACTTTAAAAGATACCAAGTAGCTGTTCTCTGTTGTAATCTAGATGTTCGTTTTTTGTTTGTTTGCTTGTTTTTAAAATTTGCTACAGTGAATACTTTGGTACCTATTTTTTTTTTTTTTTGGCATCACTCTCTGATTATTTCTTTAGTATACATTTCTAGAAATGGAGTTATCATGTCAAAGACCATATGTTTTATTATTTTTAAAGAGGAATGTATGTATGAAGTATTATATAAAACGCAAAAGCTACAAAAGGTAATAAAGGGAATATAGTGAAAGGAAGTTGCCTTCTGCCCTGCCCCCAGCCGCCCATTCTCCTGCCCAGTGGCACTGTTGTCACTCTCTGGTCTATAAATTATCAAATCGTCCAATATTATCCAAATGAGACAAAATGCCTTCCAGAAAGCTAAATTAATTTATACCCTCACCACTGCTGAAACCCCTGCTGGTGTGGCAATTGGCAATGCTGATAGGCAAAAATGCCATCTGGTTATTCTTTTATTTGCATGTATTTAATTTCCAGGTGATCTTTTCATGTTTGTTGTACTTTCTTTTCTTCTTCTTCTTTTTTTGAGACGGAATCTCTCTCCGTTGCCCTGGGTAGAGTATCATGACGTCAGCTTAGCTTACAGCAACCTCAAACTCTTGGGTTCAAGTAATCCTCCTGTCTCAGCCTCTCTGATAACTGGAACTACAGGCTCCTGACACAATGCCCAGCTAATTTTTCTGTTTTTAGTAGAGACAGGGTCTTGCTCCTGCTCCAGGCTCATCTCAATCTCTTAAGCTCAGGAGATCCACCCACCACAGTCTCCCAAAGTGCTCAGCTCACAAGTGTGAGCCACCATGCTACTTTTTCTTCTAAAATTAGTACAAGTTAAGAGTTATTATCCCCATTTTCGCATGGGTACTAAAGGATAGACTCATTGAAGGTCTCAAAGCCATTGGCTAATCGAGGGCAGAGCTGACCGTGATTGCCACCTCCAATTAAGTCCAGGTCCATTAAGTCCAGGTCCACGTGCCTCCAAAGCTCCTCCTGCCTTTCATGATTTTATTTATATATGTCCCCTTTCCTTTCCCAATTAAATGAGGAAAATATCCCCCTGTACAGACTCTAAGGACACCTCTCCTCCTGGCTTGGGGTTCTCTGAGTAATGCCTGCTTTCTCTGTGCCATCCCATGTGGTCCACGGGTGAGATCACATGGTTTACAAATGGACAGGCGGCTCAGGTCACATGGTTTACAAACAGACAGGCGGCTCAGGTCACATGGTTTACAAACGGACAGGCGGCTCAGGTCACATGGTTTAC